ATGCAGACTGCTCGTGCATCACTGATGGGGATGTAAAATGGTACAGCCACTTTGGAAAATGAGTTGGAAGTATCTTAGAATTAAACATGTTTGCCCTATAACCCAGTAACTCCAAACCACAGCTGAAGTATCTACATCTGCCAAAAAACAGATCCAGGAGTGTTCAAAGCAGCAGCACTGGGCCAGGCATGCCTATAATCCCAGCACTTTGGGAGGCCAAGGCTAGAGGATGCCTTGAGCCCAGGAGTTCAAGGCTGCAGTGAGCTACGATTGCACCACTGCGCTCCAGCTTGGGCAACAGAGTGAGACTCTGTCTCTAAAAATAATAATAAAATCAACAAAGTAGCAGCATTTTTCATAATAGCCAAAAAGTGGATATAACCCAAGAATCCATTAAAAAGTGACTGGATTCACAACTTGTGACAATAATCATACAAAGGAATGCTACAACAGCAACACAGCAATACAAGATCAACCTAGTGCTACCCTCAACAATACTGCTGGATCTCCCAGACATAACGTTCAGCAGAAGACACAGACGCCAGACACAAAGGAGTTCATCCTGTTTTCCAGTTAGGCAGAGAAGAAGCAAAACTACTCTGTGGTGAAAGAAGTCAGAACAGAGTTTACCTCGAGGGAAGGGGACACCGCATGAGGCATAAGGGAGCTGGCTGGGGGCCGCCCATGTTCATTATCTGGATCCAGGCGGTGGTTGGTTTGGATTCACGCAAAGAATTTCACAGAGCACTGCACTGTGACCAGTGTACCCCACTGTATGTGAGTGCCACCTCAATCACAAAAAATAAAATAGGAACAATGGGGAGGAAGAGAACAGGCACAAAAATGTGCCCACCTTCTTTAGTCAGATCCTCAAAGAGTCTTACATACCTGAGGGGGTCCCTATCAACAATACCATAGAATTAATCAGGAAATTTGTACTAGCCAGAGGCTGGACACTAGGCTCAGGGCTTTACACACATTAATTACCTCACACAATCCTCCCAACCACCCTGGGAGGTAGATGCTATCCTCACTTCCATTTTACTGACTGGGAAATTGAGGCTCAGAGACCATAAGCAACGTGCCCAAGTCACAGAGTGAAGTAAATGGCCACACCAAGATTCTGATCTTGGTATTTTTGAGTCCAAAACCCATGGTCTTAACCATCATCTGACACCACCTTGGAGTAAGAATTGTTCCCTAAAATTAGACAGGCAGGGGAGTGTATGATATATATTACCCAGATTTTATTTTTCCATGAAGAGCAATACATTATAGAAAATTCGAATAATACAGGAAAAAAAGAAAACAAAAATCTATTCTCCTCTCCCCCCAACTAGAAGAACAAATTGTGGAAGATTCCTTTCTACAAAGAAATACATGTTGACATTCAGGGGGTAAATGTCAGTAGCCTGGTAAATTTACCTCCATTTCTTGACAGTACCAGATGCTGTGTTGCATTATTTTTGGGAAAATTAAGCCAACTTGGAAGCCACAAGGCATTCCGGGAGAACGTGACAGCCTCGAATGTGCAGTAACTGCGGCTTTCTGTTGTTGACTTCCAAACAGTTACTAAAGTTAACCCAGAGCAAAGTCTCCTTGAAGGCAGTATTTTAAATGGAAACATTTGGCGCTGGGCGTGGCAACATTGGTTATACTGAGACAGAACCATGGGATTATGAAGGTTTGACCAAGTAAAGGGTCTTGATTCCTGGAAAAAGAGAGATTCAATAAAAGGCTTGTTTTTAATAGGTGAAAACTGAGGTCTTGACAGGGGAAGGAAGCCACCAAATCAAATCTAGCAATGGGGCCATCCAGGCACAGCTTAGCTGCTTAGAGCACACCACTTGGGAGAAGGCAGCTCTGGCTTTCAATCCTACCATGATTTACCAGCTGGGTGGCCTGAACAAGTCTCTCAACCTCTTGGAAGCCTCAGCTTTCTCATCCATAAAATGAGGATAGGAAAACCTTCCTTTCGGTAGAATTCAAGGATGAAATGAAATGGTACATATTTTATGGCACATAATAAAGATTCAATAAAATTACTATTATTTTTTGAGATAGGGTCTTGCTCTATTGCCCAGGCTGGAGTGCAGTGATGTGATCTCAGCTCACTGCAGCCTCTGCCTCCTGGGCTCAGGTGATCCCCCCACCTCAGCCTCCCAAGTAACTGGGTCCACAGGTGTGCACCACCACACCTGGCTAATTTTTTGTGTCCTTGGTAGAGATGGGGTTTCACCATGTTGCTTAGGCTGGTCTCGAACTCCTGAGCTCAAGCGATCCACCCACCTCAGCCTCCCAAACTGCTGGGATTACAGGCATGAGCCACCGTGTCCAGCTATAAAATTATTTTTTATCACACAAGTAATGCAGCTACTGCAGAAAAACTGGAAAATATAATATTTTAAAACAAATATTTAAGCAGGTTTTCTTTAAATCATTGAGTAAGCCTTAGTTTATGTGTTATTCATATGTTTATAGATCTATTCGTATTTTCTTTCTATATCTCATTTTACAAGGGTAACTCCATTTTGCAATTAGCTGAATCACGTTGAGATTGGAGTTTTAGTGCCACAGTTTAAACAGCCACCATCTGGTTGTCCTTCGAAATTCTGTGTCTTCAAAAGCCGAGTGAGTCATGGGTGTGAATGAACACAGACAAACCCTGTCAGCCGTGTCTTATGACTTTTTATTTATCACTGCATTCTCAGCTGCCGCTGCCCAAACGGAACCTTTAGAAATATCCCAGGCATTCTGATTGAGTTTAGGGTATAAACTGTTAGCCAGTTTAGACTGGCAGAAGCTCTGTATATTACATGCTGCCTTTAAGAACAACAGAGACAAACCCTCCAGTTTATTTTTAAACAGCTCCTCTACAAGTGTAACAAATTAATAAACAATTGAGAAATTATTTCAATCTGTACTTAGGGATTGCGAGACAATCTTCACTCATCTTGATGGCTGACTCAGAACCCAGGGCAGATAGGGCTAACGTCAAGAAACTCCAGGGAATAAGAAACTAAACTGGCAGGGCATGGTGGCTCACACGTGTAATCCCAGCACTTTGGGAGGCTGAGGCAGGCTGATTGCTTGAGCCCAGGAGTTCGAGACCAGCCTGGGCAACGTGGTGAAAACCTCTACAAAAAATACAAAAATTAGCCGGGCATGGTGATGTGTGCCTGTAGTCCCAGCTACTAGGGAGGCTGAAATGGGAGGATCACTTTAGTCCAGTAAGCAGCAGTTGCAGTGAGCCAAGATTGTGCCCCTGTACTACAATCTGGGGGACAGAGCAAGACCCTGTCTCAAAAACAACAAAACAAAAAACTTCCCATCCCCTTTCTTCATGTTTGGTAAGGTGTTTGTTGTTATTGTTGTTGTTGTTTTTACCAAACATGAAGAAAGGGGATGGGAATTAACGTCCTTTGAGTTTCAACTAGAGTTCTTTCTAACAGGAAGCCCCCGGTCCACTGAAAAGAAAACGTGAACATTTTCAACCACTTACTACGATGAGAAATATCTTTATCTACAAACAAAGCTACATTTTTAGAAAAGATCACTGATCTCATCTTTGTCGTTTTTACCCCATAAATGTGTCCTAAATCTGTCCACTTTTGTCTGGTCTCACTGCCACCGGGTCATCCGACCCATCTCCAACCTGCCCTGTACTCAACTTTCCTATAAAGCCCTCCTGATGCTGTGTGGCCCAGCAGAAACTGAGTTCAACTCCGAAGTCTTCAACAAGGCTAGCCAGACACAGTGGTTCACACCTGTAATCCCAGCACTTTGGGAGGACAAGGTGGGCAGATCACCTGAGGTCAGGAGTTCGAGACCAGGCTGGCCAACATAGTGAAACCCTGTCACTACTAAAAATACAAAAATTAGCCAGGTGTGGTGGCAGGTGCCTGTAATCCCAGCTACTTGGGAGGCTGAAGTGGGAGAATTGCTTGAGCCTGGGAGGTGGAGCTTGCAGTGAGTCGAGATCATGCCACTGCACTCCAGCCTGGGTGAGAGAGCCAGATCCTGTCTCGAAAAAAAAAAAAAAAAAAAAAGTAAGCATATGAGTATACAAAACCTTGTACATGAATATTCATAGCAGCATTATTCATAATAGCCAAAAAGTGGAAACAACTCAAATGCCCATCAATTGATTAATGGATAAGTGAGTTGTGATACATCCATACAATGGAATATTACTCAGCCATGCTACAGACTGAGTTATGTCCCTCAAAATTCATATGATGAAGCCTTAACTCCCACCATCTAACTGTATTGGAGATAGGACCTTGAAGGAGGTGATTAAGGTTAAGGGTAGATACCTGATCTGGTAGAACTGGTACCCTTACAAGAAGAGGAAGAGACACTAGAGAGCTCCCTCTCCCATGAGATGACCCGGCAAGAAGGTGGCTGTCCGCAAGCCGGGAAGAGAGCCCTCACTAGAACCTGACCATGCTGGCTCCTTGGTCTCAGACTTACAGTCTCCAGAACTGTGAGAGAACAAATGTCTGTTGTTTAAACTGTCAAGCCTGTGGTATTTTGTTATGGTGGCCTGAGCTGACTAATACAAGCCGTAAAAAGGAATAAAGTACTGACACATGCTACAACATGGATAAACTTTGCAAACATTGTGCTAAGTGAAAGAAGTCAGTCACAAAGGATTACATCATGAATGATTCCATTTATATGAACTGTCCAGACCAGGCAAATCCATAAAGAGACAGAGTAGATTAGTGGTTGTCTGGGGTTGGGAGGAATGGAAGTCTTGGGAGATAATGGCTAAAGGGTGTAGGGGTTCTTTCATGGGTGATGAAAATGTGCTAAAATTCATTTAGTGATAGTTGCAAATTCTGTGACATCTGTACTATCTGTGATATACTAAAAGCCATTGAGTTGTACACTTTGAATTGCATGATATATGAATTATATCTCAATACAACCTTTTTAAAAAGAAAGATGACATTTCAGTAATGGTCATCTCTAGGTGGTGAGACAGAATTATCCACTTTTTTGTTTAGGTTTCTACAAAGAGCAAGTATTACTTCTACAATCAGTTAAGAAGAAAGTTATTTTTAACAATTCTGTTAAAACAAATACCAGCCCTATTCTCCTTGTCGACAAAGCTGATAAAACTTACACCTTTGCAAGAGTCAGATATGCTCTAATGACAAACCCCCCTGGGCCAGGCTTCCCAGTGTTTTATGTTCTTCTCCATACATTATCTCATCTGAGGTTCACAACCTCTCTGTGTCGTAAGCAAGGAAAACAACTGTTTTCCTCCTGAATGTTTTCACATCCTGCTTCCTTCCTTAAAGGATTTGAGATAATTTATAATAAAGGATGGTAAATCAAAACAGAAAAAGAAAACCAAGCGTGAAGAGAAATGGAGAATTTACATATGCTAACCATAGCATTTAAGAAGTTGCTATAAATGAGTTTCACATTGAACTCTGAGCATCCTGGCCAACAAGGCAAAAAGGGAAAGTCAGGGAAGAAGGAAACCATTTTAAAGGGAAGCAATATTTTTCTGGCACCATTTGCTGGATGACATTTCACATATGGATTTATTTTTGAAAAGGATTTAATGGATTTTGACCCAAAGAAAAAATTTTACAGAAGATGTTAAAGTACATTAACATGGTTATTTCCCAAAGGTACCTTGGTTTGTAAGCCAAAGACACACCACCTTGGCAAATTCAGGGAAAATCTAAAACCATGGGAACCAAATTTATAATCTAACTTAGTGGTTTTCATATTTTTAAACAGCCACCATCCATTTAAAAAATACGTTTTACATTGCTTTTACGATGCACAAACACATCTCAAACAAATATTTCTCCAAAAAGTATTTCCCTTACAATAAGCAAAGCATGTTGATATTTTCTCTATATTGTACTTCATTTTTCAAAATGTTTGTGGCAACCCATTGATTGATTTCACCACTCAGTGGGAAAAGACACTGCTCTAAAATGATTCAAAAATGATATGGGGCCGGGTGTGGTGGTTCACACCTGTAATCCCAGCATTTTGGGATACCGTGGTGGGCGGATCACCTGAGGTCAGGAGTTTGAGGCCTGCCTGGCCAACATGGTGAAACCCCATCTCTACCAAAAATACAAAAATGGGCTGGGCGTGGTGGTGGGCGCCTGTAATCTCAGCTACTCAGGAGGCTGAGGCAGGAGAATTGCTTGAACCTGGGAGGTGGAGGTTGCAGTGAGCCAAGATCGTGACATTGCACTCCAGCTTGGGTGAGAAGAACAAAACTGCATCTCAAAAAAAAAAGATGGCTTACAGTGGTAGACACTGATCATTATTGAGCACCTAATGTTTACGAGGCATTGGACTAAGCATATTCATTACAAGCATTGTCTCATTTGAGAATCCAGCGATGGGGATGCTTTTATTTCCATTGTACAGGTGAAAAAAACTGAAAGCTAGAGGGGTTAAGTAACTTGTCTAAGGTCACATAGCCAGTAAGAATTTGTAGGTGAAATTAGCTCAAGTTGTTGTTGTTTTCACACAAATAAATTTGTCCCTCAGTTGGACCTTCAGGGAGAGTATTAATTTCATTCCGCAGCTAAAAGATGAGCCATCAGGAAGGTTAAGTGCCGTGCTCAAGGACACACAGCTAGGAAGTTTCCAGTCAGGGTTCCAATGCAGGTCTTGGGACTCCAAGCCTAGGACTCTTTCTACTATTATTAGCTGCTCATCCTGAACAGCTTCAAATGTCACTTTGAAACCTCTTAAGTGACAAGTCTCTGGATGCCACGAGAAGAAAATGAGGGCAATTCCAATGCACGTGGCAACAGTAGGGCTCATGCAAAAGATTCCTTAGTCTCCCCCATCTCCCTCCTACTCAGATCTGGCAAAGTAAGGCATTTTTGAAAAGTTTTCCTAGCCACCAAAGTATTACCAGTGACAGTGAGGTGGGTACCTTTTTTAGATCTCTTGGTACTATTCTGTATTTTTCATAATGAGAATGTATTGCTTTGATATGGGGACAGGTTTTAAATTATTTTTAAAAAGATAATTTAAAAGAGATAATGAGAGTTGAATCTGAAAACTGGCAAGACAATTTAGCTGTTCAGATCCTAAATTTAGATCCTAAGGGTGAACACCATGTGTCGACAGTCTTGGACTGGAGCTCACGGAGAGAAGTGGGGACAATTTGGTGGGCGGGATCATGACTCTTTAAGGCAGGCTCACAGGCATAGAGGAGCATGTGCCTCATGCCCTTGGCAATGCAACCAGAAGTCCTAATGGACTTTGTAGGAAACTGAACACCAACAGATTTCTCTCGAGCATTTGAACTCCATAAATAACATCTGTGCATTGCAGCCTAATGAGGAGAGAGGGAGGACTCTGGAGTCAAGCTGCTTGGTTCTGCTATGTTCTTGCTCTGTGGCCCCAGATGTATTGTTTGATCTCTCTCTGCCTCAGTTTCTTCATCTATAAAATGGAGACCATAGTAGTACCTACTTCAAAGGTGTAAAGATTATTTAATTGAGTTACTACTAGTAAAAAGCTTGGGAAAATGCTTGCCTCATAGTAAGTGCACAATGAATGTAAACAAATACTCCTTTTTATTATTTTTAGAAATTACAGATAATCGAAAAGGAAAAATAATCATTTGCATTTCTGTTTTAGAAAAAAAGGCAAAAATAAATCAACTCAGCAATCGCCTGCATTATAACCACTCAGAGATAATCACTATTAGCATCTAGGGATTATATTCTAATGGACTTTTTGTCTTTATTTATTTAGCTATTATTATTTTTTGAAATGGAGTTTCTCTCTGTCGCCCAGGCTAGAGTGCAATGGTGCGATCTTGGCTCACTGCAACCTCCACCTCCCAGGTTCAAGCGATTCTCCTGCCTCAGCCTTCTAAGTAGCTGAGATTACAGGTGCCTACCACCACGCCTGGCTAATTTTTGTATTTTTAGTAGAGACGGGGTTTCATCATGTAGGCCAGGCTGGTCTTGAACTCCTGATCTCAGGTGATTCACCCGCCTTGGCCTCCCAAAGTGCTGAGATTACAGGCCGTCTTTATCCATTTATATATTATATGTAAGCATATATCTTCCCTTAATTTTTTTTTTTTGGAAACAGTTCTGTTTGCTTTATTTTTCTTTTTTTGGAGACAGAGTCTTGCTCTGTCCCCCAGGCTGGAGTGAGTGGTACAATCATAGCTCACTGCAGCCTCTACGTCCTGAGCTTTAAGAGATCCTCCTGCTTCAGTCTCCTGAGCAGCTGGGTCTACAGGCATGCACCACCATACCCAGTTATTTATTTTTTATTTTTTTAGTGGATACAGGGTCTCTTAACATTGCCCAGGCTAGTCTCGAACTCTTCAAGTGACCTTCCCACCTTGGCCTCCCAAAGCACTGGGATTGCAGGTGTGAGCCTCTGTGTCCAGCCTCAGTTCTGTTTACTTGCCCATAGAGTGTTTGGCAAGCTGGTTGATCTGGGAAGGAGGTTACGTAACACAGATCCATTCATTCAACCAACAAGTATTCCTTGACTGTCTACCATGTGCTGGGCCCTGTTCTAGATGCTGAGGATAGAGTTGAACAAAATAGGAAAGAAAAGTCCCTGCTGTCAGAGAACTTACATTCTAGTGCAGTCACACAGACAATAATCAAAATAATTCATTAAAATCCTGGGCAATTGGCCAGATGTGGTGGGTCACACCTGTAATTCCAGCACTTTGAGAAGCCAAGGAGAGTGGATCACTTGTGGTCGGGAGTTCGAGACCAGTCTGGCCAACATGGTAAAACCTCATCTCTACTAAAAATACAAAAATTAGCCAGGTGTGGTGGCGCATGCCTGTAATCCCAGCTACTCGGGAGGCTGAGGCAGGAGGATCACTTGAACCTGGGAGGTGGAGGTTGCAGTGAGCCAAGATCATGCCATTGCACTCCAGCCTGGGTGACAGAGTGAGACCCTATCCTCAAAATAAATAAATTAATAAATAAATTAATTTTCTCAGTTCTGCCACTTCAAAGCTGTGTGACCAAAGGTGAATGATTTAACCTCTGAGACACAGTTTCCTCGCTTGAAAGACAGGGGCAATAATAGTTTCCTTTTTTTTTTTTTTTTTGAGATGGGGTCTTGCCCTGTTGCCCAGGTTGGAGTGCAATGGTGTGATCTTGCCTCACTGCAACCTCTGCCTCCTAGGTTCAAGCAATTCTGTAGCCTCAGCCTCCCGAGTAGCTAGGATTACAGGCGCCCGCCATCATGCCTGGCTAATTTTTGTATTTTTAGTAGAGACAGGGTTTCACCATGTTGGCCAGGCTGGTCTCAAACTCCTAACCTCAAGTGATCTGCCTACCTTGGCCTCCCAAAGTCCTGGGATTACAAGCATGAGCCACTGCTCCCGGTCAGGCAATAATAATTTCTACTCATTCTGTTTGCTGTGAAGATTAGAAATAATATATGCAAAGTGCCTGGCATGTAGTTGGCACTCAATAAATCAGAGCTGCTATGAGGATTGTGGATCTTTGCAGACACCCAACGTCTGGCAGCCACAGGTAGGCAATGCTGTCCTGTAGGCCGGGCCACAGCTTGACAAGGCAGACAGAATTTCACATTGCCCTCCCGGTTAGCTCCAACTTGCATTAGAAAGAGTCATTCTGGATGTGACAGGCCCAAATGTAGTGACAGGAGGAGTCTATGCTTCCTACCTTCTCAAACATGTGATCAAACTTCACAAAAATCTCCTTTAAACCTCCCTACTCTTTTCCTCCAAACTTTCTCAAATTGCCAAATACCAAATTCATGCCTCCCTCTTCTCTGCCTCACACTCTAAACTTCCAGATTTACTCTCTGCCTCCCCCAGTGATCCCACCTCGCTTTCCCCAACAAAAGCCCAGTAGTGAGCAGAATGTTCACCATCTATTGTTCTTGCCTTCAACGTCGAGACCAAACTCCCAAACCTGGCAACAGCCACCAAAACAGCAGCAACAGGTTTTCAAGGTTTAGATTTGCCCAGACAGCAGGCCTCTTGCCTGAGAGGCAGGAGATTCTACAGCAAACACCTATGGGATATTCTGTTTTACTGTTACAGAGACTTCCTGATTCAACGATTCAATTTTTCAAAGCGGAAAGCAAGGTCCATGTAGCTGGTAAATTGCAGAGTCGAACAGGAACTCAGATCCCCTGAATTTCAGACCAAAAGAAACTGCATTAGTGAGAAGAGCCTCGCTAAGGAAGATTTTGAATCCAAAGCTATTACTGGGATCTTGTAGCTAATCCATAGTATTAGGGCTTTGCTGATGTGGTTACAACACATTCTCTACTAAGAATAAACCCATGTAATCACTTTTTCTGGCCTCTAGCCTGACACAGCTTATAAATTTTCCCCCAGGAGATTCTAATCTACAGCCAGCATTGAGAACCACTGCTGTACAAAAATATGGAATAAAAACCGGAATAAAAACTTTATTTTTGCTGACAGCTTTAAAAAATATTACTAAAACCAGCCACCAGTTACTGATCATTCACTTTGTGCCAGAGATCTGTTTCATTCCATACATGGCTGTTTTATTTAATCCTCACAGTAGCCCTTTGTGGCAGATCCTAATTGTCCCCACATAACAGAGGAGAAAACAGCCTGGTGAGGATTAACAACTTGTCCAGGAACCACATTGATGGTAAAAGGCAGGAGCTCGGTTCTGTCAGACCCTCCAAAGCCAGTATTTTTATTTTATGTTTTTTGGAGACAGGGTCTTACTCTGTTGCCCAGGCTGGAGTACAGCAGTGTGATCATGGCTTTCTGAAGCCTCGACCTCCCAGAACCAAGAGATCCTCTTGCCTCAGCCTCCCAAGTAGCTGGGACCACATACACACACCACCACACCCAGCTAGTTTTCATAATTTTGTAGAGATAGAGTCTCCCTATGTTGCCCTGGCTGGTCTGGAACTCCTGGGCTCTCAAGTGATCCTCCCATCTTGGCCTCTCAAAGTGTTGGTATTACAAGCAAGAGCCACTGCACCTGGCTGCCAATATTCTTAACAATATATATAAACCATATGTTGAATGCTTTGCTTAATTAATAATTATCATTTATTGATCACTTATTATGGGTCAGGCACTATTCCAGTTCATTTAATCCTCACAAAAACTCTATGGTTTGGTTACTAGTATTAGTATTGTCATTATATTGCCAGACAAACTGAGTCACAGAGAGGTTAAACTAGGTCACAGAGAGGTTAAACTGAGTCACAGAGAGGTCAAGCAACCTGCTCGAGGTTGTACAGTGAGAAATGGGAAACTTAACCCAATCTGGTCATGAGCCGTCTAGGGTTTGTAGATTTATCTATATCCTTCAAAAGCATTCTGCATCGGCCAGGCGCGGTGGCTCATGCCTGTACTCCCAGCACTTTGGGAGGCTGGGGTGGGCAGATCACAAGGTCAAGAGATCGAGACCATCCTGGCCAACATGGTGAAACCCCGTCTCTACTAAAAATACAAAATTTAGCCAGGTTTGGTGGCTCGCTCCTGTAGTCCCAGCTACTTGGGAGGCTGAGGCAGGAGAATCACTTGAACCCGGGAAGCGGAGGTTGCAGTGAGCCGAGATCACATCAGAGATGAAGCTCATGAAGTTGGAAGTGGTCATTCGCATAAACTTAAATATAGGATCTTGAACTTTTAGGGCAAATCATTAAGAAAGGAAATCATCTTTTATGTTTAAATCTCAGAACAGTAGGGATCAGGCATTTCAGTAGGACACTTATGCCATGTCATAGCTGTGCAGACTTTTGCAAATTTTAAATGAAAAGATATGTGTAAAAGTTGATGTCATCCAAATATCCCCAGACACTGGTGAGTCCTAAAAATGGAATTGATGAAGGCAGTGCCAAGGCATGAAGTCACTAGATGTCTCTTAATCAAATTATTTATTTTGCAGGTTAAAATGGAGAAGAAACTAAGTTTTGAGGGACTATGAAAGAAAAAAATGAAAATAACACCTTAGATTTACAGATATATGTCTTCTGAAGGAGTCATGGTCCTATCAAAACAATGACCTCATTTAGAATTACTACTGAGGCATAAGAATTCTCATTTTACAAGTACAGAAAATGTAGCACAAAGATGACATCACCCATCAAAAGTCCCACAGTGGGTTGGCAGCATTAAGTATAAATTAATATAACATTTTTGGATGACAATATGGTGATCACTGTCTAAATTTAATACGTGTGTGTCCTTTGACCCAGCAATTCCACTTCTAGGAATTTATCCTATAGATATACTTCTACAAGTCTTGGTGCAGTGGCTCACGCCTGTAATTCCAGCACTTTGAGAGGCCGAGGTAGGTGGATCACCTGAGGTCAGGAGTTCGAGACTAGCCTGGCCAACGTGGCATAACCCTGTCTCTACTAAAAATATAAAAATTAACCGGGTGTGGTGGCACTTGCCTGTAATCCCAGCTACTTAAGAGGCTGAGGCAGGAGAATTGCTTGAATCCGGGAGGCGGATGTTGCAGTGACCCGAGACTGTGCCACTGCACTCTAGTCTGGGCAACAGAGCAAGACTCTGTCTCAAAAAAAAGAAAAGAAAGAAAAAGAAAAACAAATACTTCTACAAGTAAGCTAGAATATAGCTACACCAATGTTTATGGAGCATGGTTCATAATACAAGCCAACTATCCATTCATAGGAATTGGTTTTATAAAAGTATGGTACAGCTCTATCATTTTTATGGAGCCACTAAAAATAATGGAATAGATCTGTGTGTGCTGGCACGAAACAGATGGCAATGATACATTGTCAAGTGAAGAAAAAACAAGCAAGTTACGGTACAGCATATGTAATATGGTTACATGCTTATAAATATATATATTTATGTTTTTTTATTTTTTTGAGACAGTCTTGCTCTGTCACCCAGGCTAGAGTGCAGTAGTGCGATCACGGCTCACTTCAACCTCCACCTCCTGGTTCACACAATTCTCATGCCTCAGCCTTCCGAGTAGCTGGGACTACAGGCATGTGCCACCACGCCTGGCTAATTTTTTTGTATTTTTAATAGAGACGGGGTTTCACCATGTTGGCCAGGCTGATCTCGAACTCCTGGCCTCAAGTGATCCACCTGCCTCAGCCTCCCAAAGTGCTGGGGCTATAGGTGTGAGCCACCGTGCCAGGCCTATATTTATTTGTACGTTGATAGATGAATGGGAAAACTATGGGCTGATATACTCAACAGTGATTGTTTTTGGAAAATACATCACTAAAACTTGACCTTTTTTGTTAGATGACAGACTGTTGGTCACAAAGTTTCTCAACTAATGCTAGAACCCACTTCCTGAGCCACAGGCTAGAGTGTTCCCTGTATCCAGGTTCCCTCTCTGGTGGCCAAACCCTTCTCTGCTCCTCAAATGTAGATGGACAGAGGATTTGGAAGGAGGGAGAAAAGAATATCCTTATGCTGATTCACTTAACCCTGGTTTCTTGCTTTAGTGAAAATATCTTCCCAAAACACTCATGTATATCCTGCAGCCTTTGAATGGTGCTCTCAGCCTCCTCTACCACCAAGCCTCCCCTGTACTTGTGGTCTGTGGGCACTTCAGTGTCAGCGTGCAGGTTGGGAGGCATGGCCAGACACTGCCTGCTGTCCAGCCTGTGGGTCCTTAGTTACCATGCTGGGAAGCTTTGCAGTGGACCACTGCGGCCTATTGGGCACTTGGGTTACAGAACAGCATGGCCTAGGATGGCCCTAGCTTCTTTGGTATCAGGTAGATTCGGGTTCAAATCCCTGGTCTCTGGCCTGACTGGCTATGTGGACTTGTGCAAGCCGTGTATCCTCCCAGCTCCGGTTTCCTCATCTGTACGATGGAGATAATCTCACCTCTCTGAGATATCAGGTGTGAGGACTACATGGAAACATAAGGTGCTTAGTGTAGTGTCTGGCACATGGTATAAGCTCCATCGCTCTTAGCTACTCCCTAGTTGCAGACATCCTTCTCTGCTCTTGGCAGTGCATCCAATTACATGGGCTAGGAAGGAAAGAACCAAGTTCCAGCATATCTTATTTATTTATTTATTTTGAGACGAGGTCTTGCCCATTGCCCAGGCTCGAGTGCAGTGGTGCAGTCACAGCTCACTGCAGCCTCGTGTTCCTAGGCTCAAGCAGTCCTCCCACCTCAGCTTCCTGAGTAGCTGGGACTACAGGAGTGTGCTACCACGCCTGGCTAATTTTATTTTTTGTAGAGACGGGGTCTCATTGTGTTGCCCAGACTGGTCTCGAACTCCTAGGCTCAGGCAATTTTCCTGCCTTGGCCTTCCAAAGTGCTAGGATTACAGCCACGACCCCAGCCTTCAGCATAGCCTGAGGTCACAAGCAGGTGGGGTGGCTAAGATGAGGTGTTCATCTTAAGAATAGCCTTTAAACCACAGGGAAATCCTAATCACTAGGATTTGTCATTGTAATCTAAATTAAAATTAGGGAAAAGAACTTTCTCCCATATCCACCCTCTACTCCCGGCTTTCATGTTTTCCCTCTAGAAGGAAATATTGCTCTAAGAAACTTACTATATTTGGGAATAAAATGGTGTTCAGTATGTTATACAGTGTCCTCTTTATGAAAGAAAAATCAAATCTCAGCTCCAGGAATGTGTGCTTCCAAGAAACTTACTTAATCTTGAGGACACAATAAACCATTAATGATCCTATTTCCTTTACTGTTGTGGCTTCCAGGAAGCTCAGAGCCATATTTCTATTTATTATAGGAACATTTTTGAGGCCATGATACATATTGTATAATGTATTAGGGAAGTTCTGAGTATTTCTTGAACAAATGGTTTGTCTTTTTTCTTATGGACACTGTGAATTTATGTAATAGATTCTATTTCCATCTTTACTTTGGCACGTTTTCCTAAGAAACTTCTACGTTGGTCAAAGGGTACAAACTTTCAGTTATAAGATGAATAAGTTCTGGGGATCTAATGAAAAGTATGGTAACTACAGTTAATAATACTGAATTGTTTATTTAAAAATTGATGAGAGAGCAGATTTTAAGTGTCCTCACCACACACATACACACACACAAATCGTAACTATGGGTGATGGATGTGTTCATTAATTTGATCATAGTAATAATTACACAGTGTGTATGATACGGTTTGGCTCTGTGTCCCCACCCAAATTCATCTTGAATTGTAATCCCCACATGTGGAGGCAGGGATCTGGCGGGGGGGTGACTGGATCATGGGGGAGACTTCCACCATACTGTTCTTATGATAGTGAGTGAGTTCTCATGAGATCTGATGGTTTATGTTTGACAGTTCCCCCCTCACTCTCTCTCTCTCCTGCTGCCATATAAGATGTGTCTTGCTTCCCTTTTGCCTTCCGCCATGATTGTAAGTTTCCTGAGACCTCCCCAGCCATGCAGAACTATGAGTGCATTAAACCTCTTTTCTTTATAAATAACCCAGTCTCAGGTATTCTTTATAGCAGTGTGAAAACGGACTAATACAGTGTACAAATAATCATGCTGCACACCTTGAATATATATAATTTTTATTTGTCACATAGGCCTTGAAATTAAGTATTTTACTTACAGCACTGAGTGGCTTTATTTTTTTCCCTAACCTTAATTAGTCCTTAATTACCACCTTTACCTAAAAATATCATATTGCATGTATTTCTGTAACTACTAAAAACCACTCTTGGAATGAAGTAGGAAATAAACAGTTAAGCAAACAAAAAGTAGACAATTCATTTCCTTTGACAGATCAACCAATCTCTCCCTCCAAGTCTCTGCCTTTTCTTCAAAACATTAAGAAGTGATAGTTATTTAGAGATTATTTCTGCATA